TGGAAGCACTGTAGCAATCCGGCAAGTTACTGTGCAAACACGGCAACTAAAGACAAACAAGGCACTGTAATGGTACTATAGCAAATATTGTAGCAGGTACTGTAGCAACACGGAAATTTTGTTATAAATACCCCTCAAATCCAACACAATCCACATACCATTCTTACACCAATTCTTCAAGTCTAACTCTCTCTCTAGCTTAAAGGAACCTCTCCCTTCTCTCTACAAACTAGTTCTTAGTTTTTATATTTTAGTTTTTAGAGTCAAACAAAGGAGCAAGCCTTGTGCAAGCTTCTTATCTTGTAAGTTCTCTTACAAACTCTTTTATTCTTATATTCAATCAAATGGTTGATTGAGCCGCCTCATATTCATATTCATTCACTTGTTTTATTTATTCTGTTTATACTAACCATTCATGGCTGGTATTACCGCCTAAACTAACACTCTAACTGAGTGGCAGTCCGACTGCGACCCACTTCCTAACTCTTATGCTTATATATATATTTATATATTGTGAGAACCTAAGAAAATTATGTATATACCGTGAATTTATTTCATTTTATTTACTTTGTTCTTAGAAATATTATATATAACAAATAGTTGGTTAAATTAAATGTCTAATTGAAGTTCTATAAATTGAGAAATTAGAAATATCCTAGAATTGTGTAAAAAAAAATTCTTATAGGGATATGCAAATTAGAACAAATAAAGTTAGGAGTCTTTGCATGAAATAATAAAACTATAGCTCTTAGTAAGCAAATAAGTTAAAATGAAAAGACCAAACTAACCCTGAAGTTTGGTTAAACCTCCATGCAGCCAGCAAGCAAGCTATCAGATTGCTAACATAGGAACCGAGTGGAGGAAAATTTTGGAGAGTTGGTCTGAGTGGAGAAACTTTGAAGTGTGTGGCACCGAATGAAGAATTGACCACCGAGTGACCTTCTTTCTTCTAACTCTTGAGCCTTCTAAACAAAGGGATAAGTGAGTAATAAGAGGAGAAATAATCTTCTGGACAACCGAGAGGAACCGAGGCAAATTATTTGCCAAAACATTTGGGCGATGACCGAGAGAAATCAAAGAGAAATCAGCTACCAAAAACTGCTAAGTCTAAGCGGTGGAAATAAGGAAACAAATAGGAGTCGGCTTGCTAGTTTGGGCGGTGGTTAACATTTGCTAAGTTAGGTAGTGACCGAGAGCAAAGGAGACTAGGTAGTTCTGTCTTTCTTTTCTTCCATTCAATCTTTATAAAACACAACCGAGAGGAAACAGAGAGGGTGAGAAAAGAGAAAGCTTGGCTAGCTTCACCATCAGCTAACCAAAACTACACCAACGAAGACAAGAGAGAATACAGCAAGGAAGGCAGGAGAAGCTGGAATTAGGATTGAGGAACCGAGACAGAAACTTAAGCAGCCTGCAATAACGAACCTTAAGGGGGAAAAGGTAACACTCGCCATAACAACTCACTATTTAGATAGTATAATTGGTGAAACATGAGCTATAAGTTGAGCTTAGCTAGGAATTTAGCTTCTGGTTCAAGAAAGTGTTGTGCAGAAACTGTGAAATTGCAGATACTGAGCTTAAACTGGAACTTGCAGATACTGAGCTTAAACTGGAACTTGCAACTGTTCTTAATATTTCTTGGGATAATAATGTTAAGAACCTGCAATAATCTCAGGCTTATTCGGTAAATATGAATGAATAAACAAGCTGCAAGTAGTGTTTGAGCAGAGAAACTGAGCTTCGACTGAAGAAAGAAATTCTGATTTGAAACTTAAAGGTTCACTGACTGAACCTATGTGAACTGAGTGATGACCGACTGAAATTGCAGGTTGTTATCAAGCGAAAATGGATGAGTGTTGCAGAAAATGTATGAAGATGCTTGCTTCTGGTATAAGGTGAAATCTAGCTAAGGGAATTTGCGAAAATTGGAACCTTGAGCTGGAATAGTTAGATGTAACCTGATGAACTGCTATCAGTTTCATCAGGAAAAAAAAGAAGAAATCATGAATAATAACTCTAGAATTTACTTTGATAATCTGTAAAGTGTGCATGGCATCTTGATCACTTCACGCATGAGAAGATGAGCTCGAAATGGAGAGAACTGAACTCGAAGGAAATCTGATGCTTGCTACTATGCATCAGATTTTGCAGCTAAGTACGGGCATGAGATTTAGTCCAGCTTTCCTTCTAAATTCTGATCATAGACTTCCATGTTTGTTTAGGATGACCTGTAGCTGAATAAATAACCTCTGTATGAGTGATTGAGACCTAAAACTGAAAAGGAAAAGTTGAGGAAGTGTCACATAATAAACTACTGCCATGCTAAAAATTCATTGGCTGCAACCGAGAGGGAAAAGAAGGAAACTCTGGTTGTCCTTTGCAAATCTTAACTTCCAGACTCATGTATAAAGCTGTAACATGTCATAAGTCACTTAACCTCAACCAGTGAGACAGAAATGAATTGAAACTAAACAGAGTATTGAAGGAAGAATGAGCAAACTACTGCAAGTGTTCTTGTCATTCTAGCCGAGAGAGAGAGTTTAAGACTTGATTCAGCTTTGGTCTTTTATTTTGACTGTAAACCTATGTTCTTGCATATGATGCTCTGTAGTTGGGTAATTACTCCCTGCATGTAAAGTTGGGAGGGGGAAAGTAAGCAAATGGTGGGAAACAGCCTTGTACTTGAATGCCTAGCTACTGGAAAGTTGTATTTAGCTAAAAACAGAATTTATTGTTGTTTTTGCTGGACTTATGTATTGATAGTACATGTTATTTGATCCAATTTAAGCAGGGACAGGGTAAATACTGAGTGTTCAATATTTTAACCAAGTAAAAGACGAAATATTCATGAAAATTATGAAGTATATTGCTGGAACTTGATTTGATGGTTGACATGGTAATGAATTGAGCTTCTATAATGTTTCGGAAACTTTAAGGCAACTTATTGTAGTTAGATACATATGACGGCTGCTAACCACTTAATCTTGTCTTCATGAACATTTTAAAGACTTTAGAATTTAAGGGGGCTGGCATCGTGAAACAAAATTTAATTTACAAATAACTTAGAGTTTAGTTGATTTAAAAGGCAACAAATGGAGTGTCTATAAACCAAAATTAATGAATATTGAATTGAGAAAGATATATTCCTGATTTAAATATTATACAAAGATATAAACCTGGAAAAAATGTATAATTTTTGGTTTGAAATGATAAAGTTAATAAATTTTGAAATAAAATGTAAAATAAATATAAAATATGTTATATCTTGTATTTTAAAGCTAAAACTTGACTTTAATAGTTTAAATCATAAAATAATAAATGATAAGTGGTCATCTATGAATTGTATATTCACTTTAGAGTTATAAACTTGTCCCAGGGGGTAACTGTGAGTCAGGAAACAAACTCGAGAGTAATTTATTTGGGTACTTGGTAAGTGTTTTCGAATTTATGTGTTTAACTATTATGTTTATTTAAGTGAAATTATGTGATAACTGTGCTTATTATGAAATATTGCTAAGCGATTCATTGTAAAGTATATCTCAATTATCCCTCGCCTTCTAAGTCGAGGGTGTACTTTATCGCACTCGATTTAGTTAAGCTTAAAAGTTTATAATTGACTAAATGTTACTGTAAGTATGCATGAATGTAAGCCGTATGTGTACTTTACCGCATCGGCTGAACTAGGCCCCAAAAACCCTTTGTTCAACGGACTATTCGAGCCAACAAAGGGCTTGGTCGGATAGGACGAAAGTTTTAGGTAAATGTTCCGGTATACTCAAGTATTACCCTGAAGTTGGGAGATTATTAAACTGATTATTGAATGTAGGGGATTGTTTATTGTTTTGGAGGACATAAGGAGGTGAATTGACGGAGTGTGCAATAATATTGAAATGAATGTCTCACGACACTGAAATGAATGTACAATGACATTGAAATGACTCCCAGGAGGAGTTTGTATCCTTTTGATAGTGATTGTACAGTAAAATATGCACTACTTTAATTGTACTAATTTAAGTGATTATTAAATGTTACTTGTTCGGCAAACCTCACTGAGCTTTAACTCAACCCTTTAGTTTTGTTTTCCTTACAGGAGTTGGTGGTTGAAAAACGAATGAGGGAGCTTAGGGAGTTAACAAGAAGTCTTTTGTGATTGTAAATTATCTAGTATCATACCACGCTGAAGTTTTGTATTAAACTTGGCATTGTAAAATATTTGAACGTGTGGTTTTAGTATACCACAATGTAATCACTGAAGTTAATGTGAAATTAATGAGTTCTGACGAGAGTCAGATAGACGATTCACTAATTTTGAGGGTGGGTACACCCTAGAAGGACGTGAGGTCGTCACATATATGCGATTTGGTTAAAGAGGCAAAAAAAAGAGAAGAAGAAGAAATTTTGGCTGTGTTAGGATCCCCCAAAATTTTCAAATACTGTTTTTGTAGTCCAAAAACAGGGGTGGAAAATTTAAAAGTCTACAGTGCGCCTTTACTAAAATGATACCATTTTAACTCAAAACCCCATCGTCTCTGTTTTTGTGTCCCAATTACCTACTGTTCCGTTTTTGTGAAGCATGCTTTCCCCTTTTCTAATTGATGTTCTTGCCGAAGCATTACCTCTCCGCCATTCCAGCCCTGGAACAACTGCAGAACCCCCATTAAACTTGAGGCGAGCTTCTCCGACCATTGGTGCACCAAATCTTCAACAAAAACTTGCCAAATTAGCATATCCTCCATTGTTAAGTGAATACTCAGCTCATCAGGTTAGTACTTTTGGTTGTTCTATCCACTGCGTTTTGAGTATGCCGACCATTTTGAGCAGCAAGCTCCCCTTTCCTCATAGCAGCGTTCTAAGTAGCTTCATAAGTCATCCCTGTACAGCTGTTTTCCCGCTTTTCTTTTTCCATGTGACACTTACTATGGTTCAAAAACTATTTTTGGGGTTCTTAGTTTATCAGCGGACAGTGCTGACACTTGTTTTGGCATTTGCTTGTCAGTGAATTTGGGAGCCTCTGTTGCCGACTGTGAGGAAACTGATACAAAATTTCAGGCAGGTTCTGCACGGGCCAGTCATCTGCATTGTGGCTGCATTTTCGGTCTTCCTTGCTAGCCAGGTCTATATATTCTCCAAGTTTCTAAGACAACAGAATTCATTGTTTAGGTTTTAGAACAAAATTCTGGCGGACATAATCAGCTGATAGAATTCTCAGTAAATCCACTAGACATTTGGATGCGTTGACATTTATTTCTTAACAATTGCATGGCGATAAGATAGTGATGGGTTGATACTTACTTGTTGGCGATACAACAGGGTTGCTGGACACAAACTTGTTCGAAACATTTGCCAACTGATGCACCTTAATCGTTGCTCCCTTGCATGGATTTACTGCATTTCTGGCTAAAGCTAACAGCTGCGATTGCTATTGCTTTAATTCTGCATTAATTATGGGGTTTTAGCTGCATTCATATTACACATAACAGGCTTGAGCCATAATTTATTTGCTTGCCAATTTCGGATAATAGCTTATTTCCTTTTATTTTGCTGCTTTTTGGTTCTTATTTAGAGGGATTGAGTTAGTTTTTATGAGGAAGCTAATAAAACCATCCTTTCCATGAGTTGGCATACATAAGACCAGCAGGCATTAGTACAGTTTTACCGTCTGCAAGTAACGTTTTTGAGAAAATGTCGTTAAACTACCTCTAACTGCTGACAACAAGATAAATGATAACATCCTTAATATACGATGTTTATGCGCTTAGAAATAGACATAAACCTATCGCTCTGTAAATCTTCCTTCAACAATAGTCAAGAATTCACTGTTGGAAAGTAATTAACATAGGTTACGGTTTGCACCTTTCACGTTTGTTCATTTCAGTTAATCCCCTTTGCTTATTGTTGTACCTATCATGCATAAACGTGCTAATCTGTCTTCGTAATTGCTCGGGAAGTCAGCTATGCTGACTTTTCAGCATATTTCACATTGAACATAAGCACTTGTTCAAATTTTTTGATCCTATATTGTATGCCTCACATTAATCTTTTCAAGTAATATGTTTCAGTCAGCTATCATTGGTTAACACACTTGACTTTGAGGTGAACGATTTAGGTGATACTTTGTAGAAGTTTAGTGCAACTACATGCCCCCTGTCACTCGGCATGCTTGGAAGGGTATATAGTACTTCCATCTTCTCTATCTGCACTTGACCGTATGGATACTTAATTGGTCATAACACGTGCTTCTCCTGCTGCTAGCTTTTCAAAGAAGTAGGAGACTCAGCAATTCTTCTTCAAAGTCAGCTTGTGGAGAAAACGATTTGCAGCTGTGCATCACTAACTATTTCAAGGTGAGTTATCGAGAAAAACCTATGACTCGGGCTGGTTGAATGCCTTAGATCAGTTATGGAGCTACGTTAGTTTTCCTTGAGAGCTTAATTTTTCCTTTATGAGTCAACCACGAGCAAAGTATACGCAACGTATCACTTTCACTTCGGAACATGAAATTGCATTTGCCCAACATCTTGTCAGTATGCATTGGAAGGGAGAAATATCCCCTCATAACATCGGGGGTCATGTCGTCCCCGAAATTACTAGCATGCTTAATGTTTCGTTTGGCACTTCATTTCCCCGCAACACCATTAGATCGAAGTACTATGCCTTGCAAAGCCTGACCAAACTGTATATTTCATTCAAGAGGCGTGGCACTGGTATGGGTTGGGACTCTACCAACTACACTTTCATGATGGACGATGGCTGCTGGGCAGATCTACTCCAGGTGGCATAACCTTCGCCGATATTTCCTGCCTTAGATCAGTTTTTTATGACCCTTAACTTGTGCATCTGGACTTTTCGAATAAGTTTCTCGCTAGCAGCCTAATCATTTCCCTATTATGAAGACTAGTTGTATTGGGTGTTTTATGCATCCTCTAATGCTGATTTTAGTGTATTTTTTGTAGGTGAACAAAGGCTACGGAAGATTTTATGATAGATCATGCCTCGTTTTTTATTTGCTTGAAGCAGTGTTCATGAATCAAGGCGCTACTGGGGACTACAGCCCTCAACATGAACTATCACCTCTCAACTCTGAAGAGGAGTTGGAAATGGAGAATGCTATGAGAGGTGCTAGGGGAAAGGACTTTGTAGACGTCGGTTCATCGGATGAAGATGTTACGATGCCGTCGACTAGGAAAGGGAAAGGGAAAGGGAAAGCACAAATCGGGAGACATGTCAACCGATTCATTCTTCTCATGTCGAACCAATTCCGACAATATATCCGTGCTCTAGATAGCATTGAGAATTTGAGATCCATTTGAGTGGCAAAAAGGGCAATAGCATGAGTGGTTCGGTCTCTTCACCCTTGAAGACAGCACATCGTCCTTTGGATGCTGATTCCGAGCTAAAAGCTGCCTTGGCAGAGCTTTGTGGCCTGAATCTAGACATAAATGTGCATCTAAAGGTTGCAGATGCATTAAAGGATGCTTCGATCGGGCGATTTGGGCCACTTGCAAGACTGATGTTGCCCGTCTTGCATTTGTGAGGCACCGAGGGTTCTTACCCCCAGAGTAGATGGAGCCTTATCCATTTTATCTTTGTTACACTTATGAGAGCTCATGTTATGCATGTGTTTTTGTCCCTGCTATGTCATTTGAGTGTTGACATAGTATTAGCTTACGTATGAGTATGCCTTAACTTTATTAGCGATTGTGCCACTGTACCAGGGAAGAGTTTTCCATTTTTCTTCCACTGATTTTTTTTTCCAATTTGACTCTATGAAACAATGTTGCCGCGGCTGGCCACTTCCCTTTATTTCTCCGTCATTGGATTGGAAACCCTTGATTTATTACTTGACAAGTGACTAATTGTAATTACAGCTGTCTTGATAAAAATAATACATTTAATACTTGTTGCTTTTATTTTCATTGGCCAGTTGTTAATATGTTTATTGGTGCATTTGTGCAATATCTCCTATCCCATATTATGTGGCATACCCAGGGTAAAATTCGTTGGTCTATTAGCATGATAGTCAGCTTTAGGTGTTTTGAATGTCATGGACTCAGGCTAGTTCATGGCCGTGGTTGAGCGTGTAGTAGTTTTCAACTTCAGTAGCTGTTTTGCTAACTACTTTTGACGCACTTTTGTTAACTACGAACTCTCTAAAGTTGGGTACTGGATTTTGTTGACATTTTTTTATCTATTTGTGGGACATAAATGTGTAGGGTAGGGATTGATCATTCAGTGAGAAGTTGGAATCATTAATTGATGGATAACCACGTCCATGTTCAGGGCGGACACTAGGACGATGAGACGGACGATATTGACCTCAACAACGTACTTCCGGCAGTTGTTGTACTGGGATTGGTTTTCTTTGACCCCTTCATGAATCGTGTTCCCAGAAGAAGAAGAATCCGAGATAGTGCACTTTTTGGCAGGGATTATGTGCTTGAGCTGATAAATGACCATCGAGATAGAATTATCGAGAATATGCACATTCATGTGCCCCTGTTCCTACAGTTGTGCGACCTCTTGGTTGAGCGTGGGTACTGGCACGCATATCCTTTTCAGAGGGTTAGGATTCATGAATCCGTTGCTCTGGCACTAATGTGCTTGAGCCATGATGAGCGGCATCGGGCTTTAGCCGAGTGCTTCCAGCATTCAATAGAGACAATTGACCGGCATGTACGTAGAGTTCTCCGAGCATTGGTGCGACTTAATCGTGATTTCGTTAGGCCAAGAACATTGGTGAGACACGCCCCAGAATTCTGAATAATGGACTCTTTTGGCCGTGGTTTAGGGTAAATAACTGTGACATTATATACATGCTAATTCATCCATAACTATGAAAGCACCTAATGCTGTTACTACATTAACATACAATTTGCCGTTTTCTTGTCAGAATTGTATTGGAGCTTTAGATGGAACCCACATATCCGCTTGGTGTCGAGCAGAGATAAGAGAGCGGTTCAAAAATAGGCACGGTGGGTTATCTCAAAATGTGATTGCAGTTTGCGATCATGATATGCGATTTGTCTACATTCGAGTCGGTTGGGAAGGCAGTACACACGACACTAGAATTCTCCAAGACACATTGCTTGATCCAAATTTTGGGTTTCCAACGCCAACTCAGGGTATGTAACTAGTCTATCTTCAGAAGCTTTAAAACTTGGATTTCCATATTTGGCATTAGCAAATAACAAATAGATCGCCAATATGTTAGACAAGTTTGTTTAAATAATAAGACGGAAATCCATTGACTAGCATTCGATGCATTGACTGGTAGGAAAATATTATATGGTGGATGTTGCCTACACTAACATACCTGGGTTCATGGCACCATTTAGGGCTGCTCGGGGCACGCAGCATGAGCGGGCAGCTAAAGTTTTATTCAACCGGCGACACGCTTCTATTAGAAATATTATTGAACGAACTTTTGGGGTTCTTAAGAAGCGTTTTCCAATACTCAAAGGCCCAATGCAAAACTACCTTATAGCAACTCAAAACAACATTGTGCTTGCATGTTGTATTCTGCACAATTTCATGAGAGATTATGTGCCCAACGATGAGTACTTCAATCAAGAAGTTGCCCTCGGAGCCCTTGCAAATGCACAGGAAGAAGGGAATCAAATCCATGGAGCCCAATCCATCAATGTGTCGCAATAGGGTATAGATAACTGGAACGAAGATGGGCAGGCAATAACGGTTCACATGTATCTCAATGGACAGAACGCTTAAACAAGCCTAGGTCCTGCGTGTAGTAGTACTAAGTAGAAACTTTGCTTGGCTCCTACAATCCTGCTAAAACATTTTACAATTCAGCTGCTTTGTATGAACTACGTCTATTTTGGGGATGTACCATGAATGATTGGCCTTATCTCAAAAAGTCACCAAACTTGGAACAACATGCTGATTGCTACATGCCTAGGCTAGGAATAAAATTTTAGTTACAAGTAGGGAGAAAACAATGGATTGTAAATTATTTGAGATATTTTTACTGTAGCACTTTTTGTGATGTGATGTATGTGAGATAAAAAGATAATTGAGAAGATAAAAAGGTGTGTTGAAAATTGTAATGATGATGCATATCCCAGCTGTGCTGCAGATCCATGATTGGAGTGCAAACACTAGCTTTCCAGTGATCCCAAATTATTCCCCCAAATTGAGGTGCCTTTCAAATACAGGTCAATCCAAACGCAGAGTTTTGCAAAAACAATAAGTTGTTCAAAAACTTCAATCCAAGCGACTATGGCTGTATTTGAAAATATGCTACAGTTGAATTTTTGAAAAACACCTCCAAAAACAGTGAATCCAAACGCACCCTTTGTTTTTCATGGACTCTCATTGGCGGTAGACAATATGATTTTAGCTAATGTAAAATTCAATGAATTGTCAATCTCAAACAATGAATTGATAACTCAAAAATCTCAAATTTATAAAATTGTTGATTAGCTTGACAATATGGAGTTCAATAGAATTGGATAGTTATAAGGAGGTTGACTGACGTTAAAAATTTCATTGTTGGTTGGCTAAATTTTTTGATAATTGTGGTTTATAAGGCTTTAAGAATTATTTTGTGGTAAAAATTTATGTAACAAACAAAATTACGACATCGTGTTTTGGGGCACTTATGAGAAGCAACTATGGTGACTTTAATGATGAATGAGTCATTGTGTTTGAATAACTTGATCATGAAGTATTGTCAACCAAATTATTTGTTATGTATAAAGTTCCTCTTTTCACTACCTTGTGCACTATATGAAGTTCACCCACCAGATATCCCGTTTTGTTATTATACTAATTACACCATATTTAAAGGTGAACATTGCCCTTCTTTTGAATTAATGGGCTCACAGCAAACAAGTTTCATCCTAAAATATTAGGTAACACGATTGCAATACCAGAAGGCTTTTGATAATATACAGGCATATATCCTGAACAGTATACTTGGCGAAGAAGTGGCTGAAAATGATGATCTCGAGAAGGATAATGTGGAGGCTTCAAAGCTATATCCAGTCTAAATTTCAGCAGTCTGAGAGATTGCCGACATTTTTAGATGCAGACTTACGAAACCTGCTTTAGTAGTCAATTATGTGTCCTAAATCCTACCAAATGAACATGCGTCAAACATCGCCTTTCTAGTTCCGTTAATACATATACAACCACAAAAACATACACAGATTTTCATTTCTGTCCAGGTGCGCCAAAAAAGTTGAAGAGGACATGCATACATCAGTATTGTTTTGGCTAATTATATACAAGCAAAGGGACAAATAACCTGAAGCAGATAAATGTTTAGATATATATATCTAAAATTTACATGCTTTAGAGGAAAAAAGCAAAGTCGACACTCAACTCTGCAGTACAACTTCTCCATTAAAAATGTTTTCTGGATGCAGACACTAGACTAATAACAGGGAATCTGCTAGTCATTCACGTTACCCTGGATCTTCCATGAGAGAAGGCTATTAACATGTGCAAAATAGTGGCCAACAACTGGAAAACTTCCCTCCAGCATTTCTACTTTTCTCATATGTTGCAAAGAGCAGTCACAAGCATATAAAGAGCCATCTTTATCCTCAAAAATCATTTCGCCACAAATCCTTGAAAAGTAAAGAGGGATCAGATGACTGTTACAATCCACTGTGATGCTATATTGCTTTGCCCAACCATCACCACATAAATTCCTCAAGATCCACCCATCAATTCGGCACAACTTTTTATGAGTCACAAATCCAAGACCCCCACGCATTTCCATAATCCTATCGTGAAGTTTACTTCTTCTCGGGAGAGGTATGCGATGAAACTTCTCATCATCCAGTGTCATATACACTGTACTTACTATGCATAGTTTTCGGAACCCAATGTATGGCCCCAATTGCAAAAACTGGATCATATACAAACCAGCGGAAAGCTCTGAATGCAGGTCCATCAACTATTCTCCATGATTTAGCTCCAAGATCAAGGATTTCACAGCTAACAAATTGCATCTCGCCCTGAAACAAGTGAACCAGTTTAAAATTCCTGGTAGTCTGATGCAAGTCCATATGATTCATTATGAGGAGAACATAAACTACCCGAGGGAAGTGCAGTCAATTCCTTAGTAACAGGATTCAAGACTATTAATCCACCATTTTTCATCTTGTCATCAAGTACAATTAGACCACCGCCAGCTGCTCTAATTGTTCCCAGACAAGTGGTATTATACTCTTCTATCTTCATCTTGCCATTCTCTATTTCCATGAACTTGATGTGAAGTAACAAGGATGGATCTATAAGAGGTTGCTGACATACAGGCACAGATTGCAATTGAAAAAGCTTAGATTCAACAGAAAAAGCATTCGGTTTTTCTTGCAAGTTAGGCCTGCGATAAGGAAAAAAAGTATCTCTTTTTGAAGGATGAAGAAAAACTAAGACACTTTCAGAACGTTGGAGATAGGCTTCAATGAAAATGGTGCTGTTGATAATCCTGTACGATGTCTTACAGACAAACCTAGATCTTTGGAGAGATTCATGAGGCAGTCGAACAAGTATATTTGATATGCATTCTGATGGAAGATAAGGAATAAGGGTCTCATGTCGCTTTCTCTTCTCTTCCTCCAGCTCCTTCTTCTGTGATCTCTTTGTTCTACTAACTTTAGCAAGCTAATAGATTTGTCCGCCATTAACTTATTAGACACAACATCCAGCAAAGCCCTGATTAAAGCTGTAAACAAAATTACTTCTGCGCTAATAAAGGACTTCAATTCTTGAGAAGGATAAGAAGCTATTAGTTTTGCTCATACTATGACAGCTACCTATATCATGATTAGTGTTTTTGTGATGGTAACTACTAGCAGTTAGTACAAAGGATTAACAGGAATGAGATTGTTACTTCAAGCACTATAAGGGTAATGAAATTGTTTTTTTTTTAACCAGACAGTAATGTATATCATGGTTAGTATGTTTGCAATGGTGACCATTCGCAGACAGTTATCTGTGTCTTGAGGGATAATGAAATTGTTATTTGTGTCTTGTGGGGTCTAATGAGACAGTTACATATATCATGATTAGTGTTTTTGGGATAGTAATCACTAGCAGTTAGTACAAAGGATTAACAGGAATTTAACTTGACAAGTAGGATACAGCTTCTCAAAGGCAACTCCACGGGATTTGTGTACCACATTGAGCGAGACGCATGCAGTCTGAATAAACAAAAACAGTAGTAATTTCAAGTTACCAAACAATTTGCAAATATATTTGAGGTAGGTAAACTCTATCTCAAGTGTCAATATTAACACCTTAAACTATTCCCAGTGTACAAAAAGTCACTTTTCCTATTTAATAAAGAAACCTTAGATTTTCTAAAGTGGAAACTAGTAAAAGTTCAAAAAAAAAAAATCTTTTTCAGCTGACGTCTGAAGATTTATTGTCATATTTGTTTGATATCTCCTCCGGCAGATATATTCTTTGATTTCAGAATTTTGTGCTTGACTAGAATTTTAGAAACCAAGAAAACTAGTTTAGTGATAATCTAACAATCATAAACCAAGTGGTCTAAACAAAACCAACTTAATGGAGATGAACAAAGCACAACATAAAAATGTGCCCACAATTTCAGCAGATTTCAGAGGTTTGGTATCTAGATTATGCTGACTCTTTCAACTTTTCATTCAAACAACAACAATAATATGCAACAGCACCTATTGATAATGTGATCTGCAGAACCAGAATCTCTAGGACTGAATATTATCCAGAAACCATTCTACGTGTTATAGAGGTATGTAACAAAGATACACACCCTAGAGTAGCTATGATAAGCGCCCTTAAATTAAACCTCCGATTCTCGATCAAACACAAAAATTTACAGCAAAATCATCCAAATAGAGCAATTAACTATGGTGGACGATAATTTAATTGTGTCAGAACTGAGAAACCTCAAGCCATAGATCTTTAGCATTCTCTTGTTTATGCTTGTTTCATGGGGAAATAACATTCTCTATTCTCACCAAGAACCAGACAGAAATGGAAAAACAAAAGGTGGAAAGAAACTGCAGACAGCACAAAAAAACTGGAACAATAGAATGCAATTGACAAAAACCTCCCACTGCGATTGTATCTAACCTTGCAATCAAAATCATGGTAAGAAGATGGGTAGTTCAGAACAGAAATAACCTAGCTAACTAATCTATGCATATATGGCTTCTCTTTACATAAGTAATCTATCAAAGAACACTTCTAGCTACCCTTTCAACGCCCTAACCATCTTCATTTATGCTCAATCTTAATATGGCCGGCCTGCTTTCAAATTCAATTTAGCTTTTCAGCGAAGCTCACTAAATTAATGTCTTTCTGATTGTAACCCAGCTCGAAAGTCTAAAGTCTCATCTGGCATATTCCAGATTACATTTCAAAGAGTTGTCCTTCCCAAAATAGCACTAATGTCAAGACAGGCACCTGTAACATATAGTTTTTCTTAGAAAACTAATATGGTTAGCCGTAGTTTGACACTAACATTTTTTTTCGACAAATAGAAATGCCTTCGAAGAGGCTTTGACCTAGAATTTCAAACACACATCCAGAAACTATATTGATGTTTCAAAAAGAAAAGGAGAGTTAATAGGTGCTCATTATAGGTGATTTGATAAGAAATTGGACTGCCTTTTTCAGCTCACTATGCAGCAGCT